GCCGTACAGCGCGCCGCCCGCGCCGCCGCCGTGCAGCGCTGTGCCCGCGCCGCCTCCGCGCAGCGCGCCTCCCGCGCCGCGGCCCGCGCCCGCTTCTGCTTCGCACGCCAGGCGCAAGCTGTTCACTTCTGACAGGAATGCTGTCGACAAACATTACAACTATTATATGCAATTACTTTGAAAAGATTATCGAATGAAATCTAGAACTCGTGATAAGAAATCCTAACGAATTTAATAAAATAGATACTTAAGAGAGCCATACAAGAGCCCGTTTTCACTAACCTCTTTTTTAAGAAACCCTTTAAATTATGATAGGTGACACTTCATGAAATTTTAGTTATCAACCTAAAAGTGACACCTAGTATAAACGTAAGGAGTTCGTATAGGTATCGCACTAACTCTTAGCTAAGAAATAGTTTAGAGGTGATTAGTAAAAACGATCATAATGCTGTCTTATGTGTATTCTTGTTATCCCATCTGTGCAAATACTTCTTGTTTTTATACCCTCCATATCCACCAATGCCTGAATAAATGTCTAAAGATTGCAACAATTTTACTGGTTTTATTTGCTTACAGATAGTTTCAAATTTATTAATATGGTATTTTAGTCTAGATGACAAAAAAGATTAAAGTATATTACAAGATTGTTTAGAGGCAGTGTCCAAATAATTTTGTTCATAAAATATATAAAACTTTTTATTGTGAGACCATAAAGATAGCTGTGAGTGACAGCTGTCATATTATTACAGTCCACTGTGTTTTTTGTTTTATTTTTAGTAACAAATATATCATTTTTGAGTGAAACGTGGTTTTAAATAAAAAATCCCAGAAAACACAAAATTCAGTATTAAATAGGTGTAAGGTTCAACACAAAGCAATCGGGATATGTTAGTTTCACTTCACAAGGTACTTAAATATTTTTATTCTTGCAGTTTAGAGTTTAATGTTTTTTTATCTGTCTCTGAACACTACGAAATATCGCCGCCATGCTGATGTCATCACGGTAGTAAACAAAAGTGTCAGCTGTCGTACTAAGTGTGTATTACTGTCAGCTGTAGTTTACTGAATGAATATGGAGTTTCTTGCTCGTTCTTCTCCATAGGAATCTACACTTTGGAACGAGCAAATAGCTTCACTAGAGGACTGACTTACAGACTGACACATTTTTCTTTTCTTATTATTTAGTATTTAAATATTTTGTTTTGACGTTCAAAAGTGCCTTACTGGTCTAATTGAAATAAATGATTTTGACTTGACTTGACTTGACTTGAATACTGACGTAATGACGTCATGACTACAAAACAATCATGGCGTCCGCTGTTTGCCACGTTTTCGCAAAATACGCGCGAAATTTGAAATTATGATAAAATAATTAATTAATTGCCTCGTTGGCCGAGTGGTCGCAAGTGTAACTGCCGGGCAAGAGGTCTCGGGTTCGTTTCCCGGGTCGGGCAAAGTATTACTGGGTTTTTAAAAATCTCAGTAGTAGCACGGAGTCTGGAAACGTGCCCGGTATATGGCAATAGGCTCACCCCCTATTAGTACATGGGACTCTTAACATAAATAGTGAAAAGTGGATGTTTCATTGTACAGTGGCATTAAGTGCCGTGATGTGCACCTCTGCCTACCTCTTCGGGGATAAAAGGAGTGATGTTATGTTATGTAATTAATTAATATTCGTACATAACGCAAAAAAAATTTTAAATTTTTTCAAAGTCAAAGTCAAAGCATATATTTCAATTAAACCATAGTTTGGTACTTTTGAAACGTCAACAAATACAAAATAAATAATAGTCTGTTAGTCAGTCCGTCAGTGAAATTAGGTGAAGCTAGGTGCTCATTCCAAAATGTAGATTCGAATGGAGAAGAACGAGCAAGAAACTCCATTCCTTACTCTTTTTTAAAAAAGTATGTTCTACAATGTCTCTGATACATATTTCAATACTGTACGCATATGTAAGAACAATGCAAAGACACGCCTGACGCGTCATATTAATAACTTACTAAAATAAAAAAAATAAAAATCTTAAGTCTAACATGGTGCCCACATATGCATACTGACAATCCATAAAAATAGTGCTTCTATACAAGAAAAAGGAAACTCTTTGTTTCAATAAAGAAAGAAATGCTCGATGCCATAAGGAAACTAGATTGTCCACATTAGAATCAAAGTATTAAATTATGTATTATATTACCTACTATTGGAATTTAACTACTGACTACATTTGAGTATTGTCCAGTGGAGCCGAACCAACATGCTGCCAAGCATTCTTATCTTCAAGATAATCTGTCAGTGTGTAGTAAGCTTGATTACATAATTCGCGCTTAATATATGTTTTAAATTTACTTTCATTGAGATCTAGTATGCTATTTGGTATTTTATTATAGCATTTAATACCTAACCCCATAAAGGATTTCTGTACTTTGGACAGTCTGAATTGCGGTATAGCTAACTTATTTTTGCCTCTAGTATTAAAATTGTGTCTATCGCTTCTTTTTTCAAACAATTGCCTATTTTTCCTTACATACATTATATTTTCATATATATATTGACAGGGCACCGTTAAAATATTTATCGTTTTAAACAATTCTCTCAACGATTCGCAACGGCGTAAGTTATATATTGCTCGGATAGCCCGCTTTTGCAGAATAAATATTGATTCTATTTCTGCAGCTCGACCCCACAACAAAATGCCGTACGACATAATGCTGTGGAAATAACTAAAATAGACAAGCCTAGCTGTATCCACGTCCGTGAGCTGTCTAATCTGTCTAACTGCAAAAGCAGCTGAGCTCAATCTCCCCGAAAGCGCCTTTATATGCGGACCCCATTGTAGCCTATTGTCTAACGTAATGCCTAAAAATACTGTCTCGTCGACAAATTCTAACTTTTGACCGTTCAAAACAATATCACAATCGTTACTACGCACGTTTGGTAAACTGAATTTAATACATTTTGTTTTTTTTTCATTAAGTGCTAGATTATTAATGGTAAACCAATTATGCACTTGAAGAATGGAGCTGTTTACGTCGTCAAGATTATTTGTACGTCGATCTACTTTAAAAATTAATGATGTATCATCTGCAAAAAGCACCATTCTTGGTTCATTTTTAAATATAAATGGCAAATCATTTATATAGACTAAAAAGAGAAAGGGACCCAATATTGAACCTTGAGGAACGCCCATATTCATCCCAGAGCCCTGTGAGTTAATACCGTTAACATGAACCTTTAACTGTCTTTCTTCTAAATAAGATTTCATAAGACGGAGCGCAGAGTTTCTTATCCCGTAATGATCTAATTTCAGCAAAAGTGTTTCGTGGTCAACGCAATCAAATGCTTTTGAGAGGTCACAAAATACACCAATAGCATCCTGTGCTTCCTCCCAAGCACCAAATATTTCCTTAATCAAAGTGACACCGGCGTCAGTTGTGCAACGACCTTTAGTGAAACCGTATTGTTGTTGGTGAAAGATGGAATGTTTATTAAAATGATGAAGCATCCGAGACAGCATCAACTTTTCAAAGACTTTGCTGAGAACCGGTAAAACAGACACTGGCCTATAGTTGTTAGGTTCTTTAGTGTCACCACTTTTAAATAGTGGGATAACCTTACTATATTTCATTAGGTCAGGGAAAACACCGTCATCTATACATTTATTGAAAATCACAGCCAGATATGGCGCTACAGTTTGGATAAGTGACTTGCAAACCATTACCGATAAGCCCCAAAGATCCTCCGTTGATTTAGTCTTGATTTCTTTAAAAACTTTTATAATTTCTAGAGGATTCGTATATCGAAAACTAAAGTCGTATTGACATGATTCTATGTTGTTCTTAAGCAAAGTTACAGAGAGGTTTGCTGATGACTTTAAATGTTCAGTTGTTTTAATAGGAATACTAGTAAAAAAATTTTCAAACTCCTGGGCTACATCTACGTTTGATGTAATCTGTCCCCTTTCGGTATTTAAATTAAATTCTGAGTTTCTTAATCTTTTCCTACCGGTCTCGTTGTGTATAACTTTCCAAGTAGTTTTTATCTTATCATCAGACGATTTTATTTTATTACTAATATAAAGACGTTTCGCGACTCTGCATACTATTCTAAAGGTTTTTGAATAAGATGTTACATACTGGTGAAATTGGGGGTCATTTTTGTACGGTTTCATTCCATAAAGTTCAAAAAGTCTGTCCCTACTCTTACGAATACCTACAGTTGCCCAGTAAATCTTCGTGTAACTGGCGTTGCGGGTATCCATGGGCGACTCCGACAACTTACCATTAAATGATCCGTCTGCTGGTTTGATGACAATCAAAATGCCACCAAAACAAAAACAACCACTTCACAATCACTACAGATACATACCTTGCCGAAGTCTTTAGTAGTATTATCATGCGGCAGGTAGTGCGGGTGGCCGGGGCCGGCGACCCGCGCCAGTAGCGGCGCCCCGACCTGCCAGGCGGCCTGCCACACGAGGGCGCAGCCCCCGCCGCAGGCGCAGCCCGCCGCCGCCGCCGGGCTACTGCTGGCGGCCGCGTTACCCACTTTGGCTATCACGTAGAAGCGTTGAGTGCTGCCTACTGTCATCTGGAAGAATGAAGAAGCCAGGTTTAATTACCTTATTTTTCCTGTAATAGTATTTCAAATGAGGCTTATTAAAAAAGAATAATGAGAGACAAGTTTTTGAAGTGAGTCGCTTGACAAAAATTAAACAGTTAAAAGGCCCTCCTTTTATAAATATCAAGTGTAGTAACTCTTAGTTTAAAGACGGTTTAGCAATGGTCGGTATAAGCGGTCACTTTGCTTCGAACACAGCATAACAAATGCTGTTTATAGATCTATGGTGTATTCTTAGAGACTATACAAGTTTTTAATCCCAGACACTAGCAGATCAAACCTACATCAATCAAATATTTTTTAATATACTTTCAACTTTAAGATTCTGTAATAAAGCTCCAAATAATTACTTACAGTGATATGCGAGGCATTAATATACCCATGTGGGTTGTTAGGCGTAGGGTGTAATCTAACTCGGTTGTCTTCATACGGCAGGTGGTCGGCACTGAACCCGTTGAGGGGGCCGTGCTGAGGGAGCAGGGCGGTGCGGAAGTCCCCGCCTGTCTCGCGGCCCTTCGGGATCTGCTCGAATGCAAACGATAGCTGCTCGTCCGACATCTTGCGCTCTAGGATTTGAACCTGCGAATGAATGAATGGACCTTAAGAGAGTGAAGATGATTATGTGGGGGATCAAGTTGTGAAAGGCCATGGACCGGATTATAACCAGTGCACCTATTTAATTATTTTATTTTATTTTTCTTTATTCAGGAAACAAACAGTCTCTTATAAATAAAATTATTACAATACAATGTGATACATACAGACCTAGAGTTCCATAAAACAATACAATACGAAAAGGCACTGTTTTTAAAGGTGTCAAATCAGTAGTACACATTAAAAAAAAAAACAAGAAAAGAATTATACAGATAAAGTTTTTTAAAATGATAAACGAATTTACATACTTATAAAGTAACCGTGATATAACTCCTTTCCTAGCTCTGAGAATATTTCTGCTTAATTTTAGATTTATAAACATTGAAACTGGTATTAAATATGTCTAGTTCATTTAATTCTTCGTTATAAGTGCTAACACTGCGTTTGAAAAAGTTGTTACTTGTGTATATTGTTCTATAAGAGGGCACCGAAAATAATGTTCGCAAGCGGGAACCATGTCGGGGCACCCTTAGATATATTCTTTCTAATAGTGGGGTGAGTCAATATAGCCATTAATTATCTATACTTATAATAAATCTGTAGAGAGGTCAATTCTGTACATAAAATATATTTAAAAAATAACTATCAGGGGGTGGTTAGGGATCGCTACTGATGCCAAAAATGCAATCAGTAAAATTTTTGTCTGTCTGTCTGTATGTTCGTTATGGAAACGAAAACTACTCGACGGGTTTTAACGAAATTTGGCACAATTATTCTATATACTCTTGGGCAGGTTATAGTATACTTTTCATTATGCTACGATCAATAGGAGCAGAGCAGTGAAGGGAAATATTGGGAAAACGGGAGAAGTTACTCCATTCATTAACTTAATACACAAGGAGTTACACGCTGACGGAGTCGCGGGCACAGCTATCTATACTTTTCTGCCGGAAGTCACTATTCCACGCGGACGAAGTCGCAGGCAAAAGCTAGTATTAAATAAAAATATTTGATCAAAGTATTTTCTTCTGTCAGAGAGCAATGACAAATTGTGGTCAGTATCTTAACGAGGTCTCATAAGATACATGAGGGTGACAGCAGCGGTAATCTAAACATTTAATGAATTTCTTTTGAATATTTTCAATTCTAGTTATGTGACATGCATAATAGGGGCTCCAGATGATACATGCAAAATCTAATAGAGAACGTACAAAACTAAAGTAAAGTAACTTTAAAGTACTAGCTCGTTTAAATGGCTTTGAAATTCTTGTAATGAAACCAAGCTGCCTGTACGACTTCTTGATCACATGATCGATATGTAAGTTAAATGAGAGTTGTGAGTCCATCAAGACACCCAAATCACGAACCGAGTAAACTCGACTAAGGGATTCACCGTTAACATGGTAGTTATAATTTACAGGGGTACGGTTTCGAGTGTATGTGATATAACGAATAATCATGGAGTCAGACTCGGCGTCACAACACCATACCGCATGGGACACGTTGAAATCACCTGCAACTATAAACTTGTCATTTGGATGAGGTGCATTAATAGTTGCTCAATTTAGTGCTCAATTTATTTAGTTAATTATGCTGATGATACCGTAATATGGAGCTCACTTCATATCATCATCATATCAGTCACAAGACATTTACGCTTGAACATAAGCTTCGCTAAAGAGAGATATACGTCGATTGGGAACATGTTAACGGATATACTTTAAGTACAAATGGGAGAGCCATGCTTCGTCACGAATGGGCCGGCTCGACCAGAGTGACACCACGGCCTCACAGAAAACCGACGTGAAACAACGCTTGTGTCGTGTGACTGAGGTTACTGGAGGCCCAATTACCCCCTCTCCAATCTCCCCAATTCCCGAATCCCCGACAATCCTAAAATTCCTAATCCCCAAAATGACAGTAACGCGCTTGTAACTCCTCTGGCGTTGCCGGGTGTCCATAGACGGCGATGATTGCTTACCATCGGGTGATTCGTCTGCTGGTTTTCCGGGTTATTTTAGAAAAATCTTTACTTAGGGTAAAACCGCAGTGGGCGGAAATGGATTGATGATGAATAAAGAAATTAATTGTTTTGCTAGTGGTTATTCATACACAATGGTGTGGATTACATGTGTTTACATACAATTTATTTTAAGAAACATGTGTTGTTTGTATTGTATTGCATCGCATTGCGGTTTTTCGTTTGTTCCTAGTAAATACAATGAGTACAATAAAACATATTCTGAAAAGTCGTAAAGCAATAGTTGTTTATGTAAATAACAATCGCGGTAATGAATACTGGTTTGTGAATGACAAGTTGGCAGAACTTGTACATATAATGAAAAGCTAAAATTATCTTTGTATAGAAGATTTAGACAAGAAACAGCAGCCATGACAAAGAGGATTTATTTGGTATGGTATGTTTTAATGATTCTGTCTATAATTAAATCTTATTTATTTACATTGGCCGAGTGGTCGCAAGTACGACTTCGACTTCGGTCTTGGGTTCGATTCCCGGGTCGGGCAAAGTATTACAGGATTTTTCAGTAGTACTACGGAGTCTGGAAATGTGCCCGGTATATGGCAATAGGCTCACGTTCACGTCCTATTACATGGGACTCGTAACATAAATAGTGAAATGTGGGCGTTCCATTGTACAGTGGCATTAAGTGCCGTAATGTGCACCTCTGTCTGCCCCTTCGGGGATAAAAGGCGTGACGTGATGTTATGTGTAACGCGAGTAATCAATTTTATAACCGACTTTCCAAAAAGGAGGTGGTTGTCACTGATTCACTACGTTAGGTCGTACAATGAATAGTACACTGTTGTTTGTCTACTATCAATTAGTCATAATAGTTAATTACACATACATTATAGTCGGTTATATAATATGGAGTACAAATCGTAGTATGTTGTTGTAGTGCAGTTTGTTGATAAACAACGCGTGCGGTATTTAAACGTGATTACATAATAATTGGAATGAAAAGATTTTGGGAATCTGTATATCCGCTGTAATGTAAATAAGAACTGCGATGAAGAGCGATGACTGCCTTGTTGGCCGAGTGGTCGCAAGTCCGACTGCCGAGCAAAGGGTTTCGGGTTCGATTCCACGATCGGGTAATGTGTAATTGTTTTTTTTTAATTCTCAGTACTAGCACGGAGTCTGGAATTGTGCCCGGTATATGGCAATAGGCTCGATCACCCCCTATTACAGTGGACTCATAACGTAGGTAAATAGTGAAAAGTGGGTGTTGCATTGTGCATTGTACAGTGACACTAAGTGCCGTAATGTGCCTCATCCTACTCCTTCGGGGATAAAAGCCACGATGTTATGTCAAGTAAATAAGAATACTAAGTTTAATCTATTTTAAAAGATGTGTAACGGGGAATTTAATGTGTGAGGAAGGGATTGTTACACTATCATTTTTATTCAATTCGTTACTTGCAGATAATGATTATGATATATTTTATTCGTTTGAGTTTATTCTAAGGAGAACCCTTATCTTGCAGCCAACAGTAACATAATGTTTTTATTACTCGGTAATCAATATTACATTTTCCTTGTCAGTCGAAATTTTGTTAAAAAATATTTTATTAACTTAGATACAGGTCCAGTAAATACTGCTAAGCCCCACAATCAGATCGTATTACCGATACGCAAATTGTTATCACCTTACCAGCTGCATTGTATAATATTACTATCTTTTTAATTATAATACTTTGTTGTAACATTGACTTTTTCTGTTACAATTTTTATTTATAGTCTGAATGAAATAAATTTATTTATTCCATTCATGAGTTTGAGGATGCCACAGAATCAAATTCACTGACATTTTTCATGAAAACTATACTATGTATCACACACGTAATACCTAATAGTAGAAGAAAATTGTATCAGTTTATATATTATATACTATGAGAAATATATAACAAGTTTAACTTACCATAGTTTCTTTGGTGATGCTGGGTGGCAGTGGCTGGAATTTAGGCAGTCCGGTAGACCAACGATGCGTATGGGGCGGCGGCGCCGGCCTCGACCGACCCAGCGTGGCGCTGCGGGCCTCCGTCTTGTTGGCGCGACCCATGAACACTCCCCACCGTCTCCGCTTCTTCTCCTTGCTACTGGCCTTGCTAGTGTCCGTGTCCATGCTACTGTTGGTGGTGTCGGGCGTGCTGAGACTGATGTCCGGCGCGCTCGGGCGCGAGTCGCCGACTAGTATGGAGGTGACGTTATCTCCCTTGTGGATCGTGTTGTTGTTGCTGACGCGGTGCGTGGACAGACTCTGGTAGGGCGTCTCGTCGCCGTCGCGCTCGTCGCGCAGCGCCACGCGCTCGTCGCGCAGCGCCACGCGCTCCACGGCCAGCGCCACGGCCTCGAACTCCGCGTCGCGCACCGACCGGCTCGACGCCGACAGCTCCTTGGGCACGCTGGACTCCCGCACTCCTTTGATTACCTGCGCGTTCACGTAGTGACTGTCCGGACTGTCCACCTTGACAGGGCCGTACGGGATGTTTATATTCGGAGACAAATATTTGTTTATCGTCGGGTGACTACTGTTCCGTTCGTTTAGCCTCGCGATCTCGTCAGTAGTGGTAAGACTCTGTGCACGGTCCCGCATTGTAATCTTCCCCTCGTTCTGCCACGGTAACGGTACGTTTTCATAGATAGGTTCCTGTGTGTCCCCTAGCTTGATTTGTTGTGACTGCGGTAGTACGACGTGCCTCTGGTACGGTACCCTGTGCATGGGCATGGAGTACATGATGTTCCCTCGCTCGTCGTACACCTTCTGTATGTTGTCGGATATATGGTGGGGGTCCAGTATGATGTGTGGCTTGGGGTCCATGACGGAGGCGAGGTTGTTGTACGTCCCGTGCGTGCCAGGCATGACGTTAGGCCGTCCGTAGTTAATGTGACTAGTATTGATGTAGCCTAAGTACTGCCTGTTGAGAGCGGAGCGCGTGGAGACCAGGTCGGGGCTGGAGCCCGACACGTGCGAGTTGATGTACCCGCGGTGGTAGTTGAGGGCCTGGCTGGCCACGGCCAGGTCGGGGGTGGAGTTGGAGGCCAGCCCGTTGGAGGGGTAGGGGGGCGGGGGCTTGTACACGTTGACAAAGTGGAGCTGGTTGAGATCGGTCTGTACGTTGGGGTTGACTGCGAAGGGGTAGTTGGTGCCGATGAAGTTGAGGGGGTAGGGGTAGTCGTCTGCGGGCTGGCGGGGGGTGTGGCGCGTGACGTCAGGGTACATGCGCGGTATGTCGGGGTGTGACCCGTAGGGCTTGGTGGCCCGTCCGTAGCGCAGCGCTGCCTCGGCTCGTTGTTGTTGGTACTTCTGTTGTATGGCAGTCTCGTAGTCCGGGGCCGGCCGGTACGACGGGAGGAGCGCTCTACAATAACATAAACGTTATGTTCATTTATTGCATTTACTGTCTGTCAGTACTGCCAAGGAAGATAACTTGAATTGAATATCTTGGACGAACAAAATAATATTGATCTTTACAGATTTTTGCAAGTTCCAAGGTTGAATGCTTCTAGAGAGAAATCATTTTACGACTGATGAAAATAAATAAATATGAATATTCTATTATGACGAGTAACATAAAAAGTTTTTATTATGGTTACAGTGGTTTTGATTTCAACTGAAAAATTAAATACTTTAATAAAATAAATACAAATAAAGCTTTTCTAAAGGGCATTGACTAAAATTGGTGCCTTCCTTTTTTCTGGCGGCAGTCGATGATTTATGGAAAATATTATCTAGAATGACATTACAAACGAAATTGTCTATGGGCTCATATATGGAAATCTCAGTATGGACTGAGTTGTGAGCGTTGAAAGGAGCTGGAGTCAAACATTTTACTTTACCTTTTTTATTCCAATTATTCATATTTTTGTCACAATTCCTAACTTCAAATTGCGCGCCATTATACGCCGGGTACAGGAACACTACATCGCACCACAAGTATAATAATAAAAATATTTATTAGCTATTTTCTCTCAGTCGATAACTTGTGGGATGCTTCTAGGAATTGTGTCATGAAGCTTCATGAGCGTCAGCTGTCGTACCAGTGGTGGGTTGAGTAGTGGTAGCCGTCCAAACATCTAATAAACTATTTTTTTTTGCCGTTTACTCCTGGTGGGAGACTCATCTACTTTATAGTTAGCATAATCTTTTAAAGTAAGGAAACCGTCGACTTTGTAAAGTGATGGACATCAGATGAGCGCATAATTTTTTCATATAATGTGATCAGCCGAAATATAATCCATCACTTTGTGTCTAAATGGCGATATGTTTGTACATAATCTTATGCTAGCTGTCGATTAAAGTATTAACTGTAGTTGGATTAGTTACTAAGCCGGAGTAAGTCGAAGAAGTAGAAAGGAAAATGATTGTTTCGCGTTTTGACGACTGCCGCTACTCAATCCGCTACCGACGCTGCAGCAGACAAACATAGCATTTCATGATAGGGCTCAGTGAAGTATTTTGCGGGTTTTCGACTGAGAGGAAATTGATCATGAAAATCAGTCGTAGGCCATAAACCGTATACATATAAAGTGAATACGCTAGCCAATCAAGCGAAATGTTTTTTTTTTACTTCAGCAGTGGCCAGTTAACGGTTTACTCTGTTCTGATTCCATGGCCTTATAACAAAAAAAAAATAAGTAAAAACGTCCACGTCCAGGAATAATATAGCACTATTTTCACATCTTTGAACTGATTTAACTCGGTTTGGACTGTGTTTTTTATATGAGACCCCATATATTTTTTTATTTGTAATGTTATTCTGCATCAGTTTTTCCACATCCGATCAACTGCCGCGAAAAAACGAAAAGTCACCACTCTCCATACAAATTTGGTCATTGTCATTACATACCTGTTCTGCGGCAGCGGCGGTGGCTGGTGCTGCAGATGATGCTGGTCAGCGAGCTCCAGACAGGACGTGGAGTATGCGCGGTGCGCCGCGCTCAGCGGCTCCAGGCGGGACATGCTGCCCACCTCGCGCGCGTCCAGCTCCTCGCGACTGTCCGACAGACCGTGCTCCTGGGGAGGGAACCAGCAGTAGTACAAGAGGGAATGAAAGTTTTCGATTTTGGATTCATAAGTGAGTGGCACTAGTGAGTCATATGTTCATATTATCATATTATTAATAATATGTATTTATGTAAGTATCTGTATTTTTTTAATTTTCATAATCTTTGTTTGTGTGCCATTTGCCAAGTAAATGCTTTTTCTTTCTTTCTTTCGTATGGTCGTATACGTTCAATCAGTAATTGAAGGACTAACACCTTGATTGACATTGGCAAATGTATTCTATTGATCAGTAGACCTAGCTATACTAGCGCCTCTGATGGCGCGAACTCATTCACAGAACTAGCCATATTGTGATTTTGGAAATGTGGAAATGTTTACATGCTTATAAAAGACAAGAATGTAAAAATACAATCACGATATTAGTTTGTTTAAATGAGAACAAAATGTATCTACCCACGCACTGTTAGACAAGAGACTCACGCAATAGAGATGAACATGTTGTACACTTAATAATACGTTACCCACTGTATAATTATAGTGAACAATAATTATAATTACATTAATTAGTTAATTGTTGTCCTGACAATTGTCGCTAAGTGGTACAGATTGGAACAATCTTGTTGTGTTGGAATTAATTTGTATGCCTCATAATAAACTGGAATTAGATTTGATTACTGAGTACAATATTGAGTGAGGCTTAATTTCAAAGGCAAAAGGAAATATATTTTGGGTCTTTAATGTTGAGCCATACAGAGGTTTCTCATCTGTAACTGTGTAGGTAGTAATTATTCGAACCAACACCAATTTCATATTATTATAACACAAGTTCACACCACGCCTAGACGTCAATTTGTAGATTAAATTTTTGCGTGCGGAAATCGAATCCACAATAGGGCTTAGTCACTGTACTCTCTCACTGCATCCACAGCAGCTAGTAAATAGCATTATAACAGCAAAGATTTTGATTGTACACCCAAAAGCATACGAGAAAACTCAGGTGAATTTTTAAATGAGTAGTTTTACGTAGAATTAATTAGCGCGAACCAACAACAATCATGTCGTGTCGTAAATAAATAAAAGCAATTAGTATATAATGCGAGGTATGTAGGCAAGTAATAAATATACCGCATGGTATGCGCGTGCGCTGCACTTTCCCGGCGCGTTACAGCTGTAGTAGTTAAATAACTCAATAACTTATAGATTCGCTCGGAAGTGGTCTCGATGGGCGCGGAGCGTGCGCGCGCGCACGATGCTATCTCCCGATCTATAACGCGCGCTATTCACGGCAATACTGATTGCGATCGCCTTGCTTATTTCCGGCCGTTGGTGGTCCTTTATTATTTTTTTTAGTTAGTAACTTGTTTTAATTTTCTTTGTGGTTCTGATGTTATTTGTCATGAGGGAGATATGAGTCAAGCCTTAAATAAAAAATGGAATAAATTATTGGACATTTCAATTTTAAAGAAAAAAGATAGTGGACAATCAACTTAGTGCACAAAAATTTGACCGCGAAATAATTCTCAAAGATAATAAACGTTATAATTTGAATGGATTATACAGCGATTTGTATTAATTAGTGCGTTTTGCATTTAAATGAATACATAGTTTTGAATTAGCATATGAATGTTTTAACAAATTACTCAATTAGTGAGGACGTGAAATAATTAAATGGAATTGCATACTACTTGTACAAGTCAGATGCAACGCCAAGATGTAAGATATTGTCAACGGCTGGTTTTATTATAATTTTGGATTTTGTACCTCATTTAGACATAATAAATGTGTCGCAAATTGTTTAATCCTATTAATATTTAAGTGTGGGAGAGCTATGCTTCGGCACGAATGGCCCGGCTCGACCGGAGTGATACCACGGCCTCAGAGAAAACCGACGTGAAGAAACGCTTGCGTTGTGTTTCGTCGCGTGAGTGAGCTTATCGGAGGCGCAATTACCACTCCCCACCCCCATTCCCAATCCATGAATCCCCAACAACCCTCAAATTCCTAATCCCAAAAGGCCAGTAACGCATTTGTAACGCCTCTGGTGTTTCAGGCGTCCATGGGCGACGCCGATTGCTTGCCATCAGGATCACCTGAGACGGATCACCGTCTGGTTGTTTATAGGTTTATCTTGCTTTGATATTACTTTTAAAAAACATGACACAGAATCGATTAAAAACTTTATATCGCAACAGGGTATGGGAGTTTTATCTCCGAGTGAATTGGCGCGGCGATGGCGCGCACACTTTCATAGCGCGCATAACTAGCTAATTGTTATTTAACGCTACACGGACACACGGTAGACACCATCCGATGGTTTACAAAAACCACGCAACATCGCTTAGCATAATGTCTCAAGTTTTTTTTACTATAATGTAGAATAGGAAATTATACGGACACTTTTCTTTCCAAGTATTTAGATTGCTGGGTGCATAATGCCTGGGAGGTTTCTTTCTTGTTTTATTTGGAAAATATTGAGGCGATGAAAGCGTCTATCAATCAAGAATGGAAAAGGGAGTTAATCTGAGAGAGCTATATCAAGATTTCTTTCTTCTTGAGAAGCCGTCGCCGTAATAATAGCGGCCAAATAGAAAATACATTTGTGTGTTGCTTAGATCTGTGTGCCGGTCAACCACGAGTGATTCCATATGTATCTATCGGGTAATTGCTATGTATACGCCCTCTCATTTACTATGAAGCAGATATGGTAGGTACGTTACAAGTAATTAAGACGTAATGAATGAGAAACCCGTCAAGAAACATGTCAAGGTCAAAGTAGAAGTAAAGATATTAATAATATCGAAAACAGAGTAAAAAGTCTTTACAATCAAAGGGAGAATAGACAGCTAGTATGAATCAATCCCAATACTAGCAAATAAATCCAGTACCTGGAACTTAGGCCTATGTTCATCTCGAGGAGCTTCACTGAGCGCGCTCTGGTGCTTCATGTAGAAGGTGTGTTGCTGGACGCAGGACCACCACACGTACTTCCCGTCCTCGGGGCTGGCCAGCGTGAAGGAAGCTGAACCAGTCTGCTTCTGACACTCTATGCTGAACGTGCGCTTGTGGTTTATCACGTTCGTTATGTCCATCCATCTGTAAAAACAGAAATATACTGCTTTAACTCATGGGAAGTCAATAAAAGTCATATTAGGGCAGTGAACGTTTATCCGAATCATCCGATGGTAAGCGGTCAGTCCCACCCATGTTATGATTGCCTGTCGATGGCACCCGTAACACCAGAGGAGTCGCAAGTGTGTGGCCAGAATAGATTCATCTGTTCTTTAAGGTAAGAGTTACAATTCAATATGCTGTGCACTTCTGATTACCACAAGACGGAAAGGTGTCAATTATAATGTTAGACTTTAGTTAAAATATGGCTAGGTGTTTCTTTTTGCCGTGTCTTAAATGCATTTACAAAAACTTCAAAATCATTACCATCACACGGATCACATAAACAGATGTTACGTGCGCAAGCATAGACAATTCGACAACCGTGTACTCAAATATTATCATAACTTAATGTCATAAGAAAGTTACATGTATTAAGTACAAAAATTATAAATCTTTGCAGAATAAGAGTGAATTTCTAACTCGACTCCGTAAATTCTGTAAAAACCTATAAATATATAAAGGCTGCATTAACGAATTTACAATTTCTTTTCGATTCACAAGACAAGATATAAAACTGGAAATTAATATCTAGAGAGAGACAACTTTCTCTGAATGAAACGAAATAAGCAGATATACAATAAATTAAATGGTTTCTTTATTCACTGCAAGATGCGATTGAAACGTGTTTCTCATTGTAAATCCAACATTAATATGGATATGGCAAATTAATGTTTGCACGCCATCGCGATAGAGATACATGGCAAGTGATTGTAGAAACATCATAATGTCTTTAACGAGTAATGACACGCATTTATACAACACCAATAGCCTGTGGTAGTACCCTGTTAGGCTATACCTTCTCAAGGTAAGGGGTATCGCTATAATTCATTATCTTGGCAGACGACTTCTATAGAGATAGCTGTTTAATCTCTCCAAAATTCATAACAGTTCTAAACAGCTTCCAAATTCTAGAAAAATGCATGCCACAATATTTTTTTTACGGGATAAGCCGGTAAACGACCATACGGATCACCTGATGGTAAGCAATCGGCGTCGCCCATGGACACCTGGAACACCAGAGGCGTACCGGCCTTTTGCGATAAGGAATTTGAGGATTGTTGGGGATTAAAGGATTGGGGAAAGGGTGGGGGGTAATTGGGCCTCCAGTAACCTCACTCAGACGACGAAATACAACCCAAGCGTGGTTTCACGTTAGTCTTCTGTGAGGCCGTGGTATCACTCCGGTCGAGCCGGCCCATTCATACCGAAGCATGGCTCTCCCACACTTATTAGTCTATAATGTGAAGACCATTTTTGTATTTTAAATTAATTAATGTACCTATACTATTTAAGATTGTTAAGGAGCTATTAAATACAAAGACGCTAAAATGAAGAACCAATTAATTCGACACGTATTTCAATAGTGGCAATGCAATAGTTGGACGCGGTCCAAACACAAATGTGCCGAAACATTTATCACATTCCTGTCATAAATCCCTCGATTCAACTTTAATGTTCCATTAAAGGAAAGTTAATAAAATCGCACATTATTGTTTTTTAAGATAACGTAAGCATATATAAAGCCTTTAATTCTTCGGAGAATAAGCAGAGGTAGCATATTCTATTGTTACTAGCTGCTACTTTTTTACCATGGTTATTGGGTTATAGTCAAATACCGCATAAGTTTTCGTCCTTATTTCACAACTACGATACTGGATACACAGACTATCCTAATGCATTACGAAACTTATATCAATTAACCTATGTAAGTGTGACAAATATACAATATCTTAACATTATGAAAGGAAAATCAAACTTTACCATAACTTGATAGGCACTGAGAAACACCATTAGCACCGGCGTTTTATGATCTACTAAATGTTTTCCTAACTCGTTCAAAAAGTGGTATTGGAGGACTTTGATTCTTGTATATCAATATATGTGACTGCCTCATTGGCCGAGTGCAAGTGCGACTGCCAGGCAAGGGTCTCGGATTCGATTCCCGGGTAAGGCAAGGCACGGAGTCTGGAATTGAGCCCGGTATATGGTAATACGCTCACACCCTATTACATGGAACTCATAAATAGTGAAAATGGGTGTTACATTGTACAGAGACATATTACATCATGCCGTACATAATGTGCACCTCTGCCTACCCCTTCTGGGTTAAAAGGCGTGATGTTATGATGATGATGATGATGATCAATATATTATGTAGTATTGTAAAGGTCGTTCGAAGTTACACTATTGTCCATACTTCTGTAGGATTGGACAACGGATTCATTCATTACGCTACAGTCTATAGTGTTATTCAATGGGTAATACATTGAAAGGCGAACAATGAACATAAACTAAAGGCTTATGTCCATTATGTTATTTACAGGCACAATGTAAATATTGTTAGTATTGATATACTTGTTATGTGGACACTCAACCTTTGCAATTATAGCGTCTTTCATATGAGGTACATTTGTTAAAAACTGAAGGAATGACGACTTGCCGTCTCTCCTGAATGTAACACAGACTAACAAATTGTTAATTTTAATCATTATTTGAATCTCACGTAAGAAAGGGGCGAAGTGACAGGGATCTCCATTGTATAGAGAGAGCAGAGTCCAATAATGCGACGTTTTGTATCAAGTTTTTCACGATGACGTATTTAATATCAATTTAATTTAATACTCACCCCAAAACCCCGTCATTTCGCTTTTATTTTCCGAACAACAAGATCGGGTTTTGTAGTTCTGGTAGAGTTTAGTTGACCGGATATAAAGAATTACAATTAGTAACCTGATACGAATCCTTGTAGTTAAACTGTAAATAGATTAGGTCGTCGCAGTGAGTAGTATTAAACCGTGGCCTACGTCTTTATTTGAGATAGGTAAACGTAATGAATGATTGCCCTACTTACTAAATTGAACGACTACAAAATTCTACATTTCATACTTTAATTTTAGAAAAGGTATTTTCTGCGTACCTTGATTTCCATTTTTGTGATCAAGAAACCGTTGTGTCGTGACAGGAAGGACTTTACTATAGAAAGTATTCATAATCACCGTCACTATAGATATGATTACCTGTAGAAATGAGGAGTCTCGCTGGTCTCCGTGAGCACTCGGATGCCGGTGAGTGAGATGGCGATGGTGACCTCGCTCTGGTTGAGCTGGTCGCGGGCGCTGAACATCTCCTGTCCGTACCCGCGGAGCTGTTGACACGTCGTGATGAAACCTTCTTCTGCTTGCGCCTGTCATCAAATCACAAGTTCAGAAAAGTATTAAGGAAGACTGCGGGGGGAATTATAAGGTTTCTGTACAATAACGATCGTCAGTAATTCGAAATAACTGTACGACTTATCAGTAAAGGTCACTCATTCACTGAATATGAGTACCGGGATGGATTTAAAACTAAATATTTCAGTTCATTATAAGGTTCAGTTTTGAGATTTATGATGACGTTAAATATCAATGTTAAATTCTCCTCACATTATTAGATTATTAAATAATGTACCATGGACATTCATGTTCGTCTTTTCAACATTAATGTACGCTTCGGAATTTGCAAATAAGTACATAGCTTGAAAGTGCCATTTTGGTCTAATTGAAATAAATTGTTTGTAACATTGACTTGAGCTGTACTTAACTATGAGAAGAGAGACGTTTTGATTAATGGTTTACGAATGAGACAAACTGATTGTTTAAGCGTGGTAGCTTTTGATATCGACTTGTATTTGACTGATCTCCGAATGTGATAATCTGCAGTTGCAACAAACACCATGTATGCAAAGGTATGCATCGATTTACATCTGAACAAAAGAATTTACAGATTTCCTAGACTAGACGTAACTAGGTATCATAAACTACGGTAGTTATGATTGAACAATACATATTTTGTGCGAGGTCGTCAGTATACGTCGGTATGTATGTAAGTTTGTACGTCACGCTAACGTAAAGTGTGTCCAATTGATTTCATTCACATTTAGGTACACGTATAATAATAGTACGTAGATGCGTATGAGGGACGGGCCTATGTGGCAATGTGAAGAGCTCATGGCCGTTTCCCCCTGCTGCTTTCATCTCTAGATTAGTCCACGCATGCCATGTGGTAGCTCGATCGGAATTTTTAGAGACATCAACAAAGTAATTTTTGTCTAAACAAAATGAACTGTGCAGTTTCAGACATGAATAGGTCCATATTAGTCTCTCACTTCTTAGTTCTGCGTAACATCATTATTATCACCTCGTATTCGATCGATATTGAACATTTTTTTTAAGGGGGGGAAATCATTGAATGACTGCTCCCGCCTGGGTGAGGCGGGAGGGAGTGCCAGACTCTTACTGATTACAAACCAACTTGTTCCTACTCCTGCGCTCCGAGCCGGAGCCCCGGTAACCCATTAGGTTCTCCGCGACGATATTGAACATTGGAATCTTTGATAGAATCCCTCTGAAGTCGTCCTTCAGCAGAGGGTATTATTGTGGTGGAACAATTTAGATGAGGTTTAAAACCCAAACCTGATCACATTTAGTTAAGTCATGAATAGTAGTGCCAGTTATTACTGCAAGTGTAAGTTATGAGTACAAAGCTAATGTTTTAAAAAGATCGCCTATAGTTACAATTCATATTCCACGGTTGTTTAACTAACATTACGTTTAACCTGCATCACAAATACTGGAGCTACAACATTATGCGTTAGTGTGATAGCTATCGAGTTAATGAGACAAGGTGATATTTTTAAAGGTGTGTTCTCGACGTACCGACAAACATGTCTTATCAAATATACATAACGATTACATGAGAGATAACGGCGAACATTTTAAAACACATTTACTTTCATTAAAATTAATGTAAAATTAATTTGATGGTTTGGTTTTGGAATCTCTTGAAAATCTTTTGAAAAACTTTTTAAATGGGATTTCTTTTTATACGCCATATTACTAAACATAGAGGTTATAATAAGGTCAATAGGTACAGTATAAATAAGAACTAGACTTCTCCAAGACGGTTTTAGGTAAAATGACGACGTTGAATAAGAATTTCCGTCGACGAGTTGCATATTCTACTTTCGTCACACACAGTATGATGGAGGATTTTGCGATCGTGATAATATGATGTTTTAGTAGATTTTAAACTTTACTTGATGTATGACTCACGCAATGTAGGGTGCCACATAGTTATACATTATCCATAAGCTACATCTACTACGCGCGCTTCTATCTAACTAGGAACATCCCTTGCGGAATATAAGGAAGGTGTGGCGTTAATCAGAGAATTTACGAACGACTCTCTTGTGGCAGGAGATATTTTTTTATGAGATAACTAGAAAGATAAACGAGCAGGGGTGTCAGCTGGTGGTAAGTGATCACACTTTTTTTTTTTTTTTTTTTAAGGGGGGAAAATCATCGAATGACTGCCCCCGAATGAGGCGGGAGGGAGTGTCAGACTCTTACTGACTAAAAACCACCCCGTTCCTTCTCCTGCACGTCGAGCCGGAGCCCCGGTTACCCGTTAGGTTCTCCGCGACTCCGAATCGGCATCGGCCCTATTGGGCCCCATCTGTGGTGGTCTGATGGCTCTTTGAGGCGCGCGCGGAACGCGACGCGCCGTACGCTCGGGTCTGTTTCTGGTCGGACGGGGAGCCACCCATGCTCGCCGTCCGCAGGCCCGCGCTTACGGTGGCCGGAGATCGTCCCGCGATCCCCGACGCCCGGTGTGTCCTTCGCGATGGCTGGGTTGCGAGGAGGCAGCGCTTCGCTGCCTCACGCGTCCCGCCTCCTCCTTAGCTAGCATGACTGCTTCGCAAAAGGAGGAGACGGCATCCCAATCCCCCTCGCTCCGCATCATGGCCTGCACTAGGCCCGGACGCGAGAGGTCGCCATCGCCGATCACTTCCCTGAGGACACGGCGGTGCTCAGCCCACGAAGGGCATTCTCCCACCGTGTGTTCCACCGTGTCCTCAGGGCGGTCCTCGCAGTGATGACACCCGGGCGTTTCCTCCCGCCCCATCAGACACAGGTACCTCCCGAAACTGCCATGTCCGGTGAGGACCTGCGTAAGGCGGTAGGTGAGGACGCCGTAGCGTCTCTCAAGCCACTCCTCAAAGAGGGGACTTACCGCTGCGATGGCAGCGAGCCCAAAGTGATCACACTAGGAACATCAGAGGAGTAACATGTGCGTCGCTGGCCGTAGGAGGAAGGGGATATGGCTTCCGTTATACCGGCAAGTTGTTAAGGTCAAGACAAAGACGAGTAGGATAACTAACAGATTTCTCTTATGAAGATAGCAGTTGTATTAAATATGGCTCCTGGTGATGGTAAATACGCAAACTTATAAAGTATGTACATAAAGGGTATTAAATATGGAAACATACATGTTTCGCGTTCGGCTCGTCGGATGACAATTTGTTACTCATTCATCAGTATCGTCAGTTTTTACGTGCGAGAATTGAACCCGCGTCACTTTATGAAGCAGGCAATGCCGCAACCACGGCGCCAACCGTGAGGTCATCAGTTTGAATTAGCAATTCAATTATGTATCTAACATACTTGTGTGCTCAGTAATAGCATTTTTTAAAAGAACAGATCGCGAAAAATATCGATTCTATATGTAGACATGCACAAGTAAATAGTTTGGATTTTATTGAAGTGTTGTTTATGTGTGAACATAAATAACTGCTTGTCTATCAGAGCTTTCAATAAAATATCCAAGAGTAAAATTCCACAGCAAGATACAGTTATAAATAATGTATTCTTCTCTGTATGTACATGACAGTGTTGCTAAATATCTTAATTATATTCTAATACAATTCTTTTTCTAGAGATTACCTGGCGCTGGTATTGTTTACATTGTGATTGTTATCTACAAACTCATTTGTATGATTTCTGTCATGTTAAATTAATTGTTTGTTAAAATGTGGGAATTTCCTGTGACTCGTTATATTTTAATAAGTAAGATGCACCTAATGTTAAAAGCCTACTGTAACACTTCCCGTATTATGTAGAGTAATGATTTCTTTAGGAACAAAGTTCAATTGCTGATTTGTATAATAATATTATTTGTAGATTACTGACATCCATAATATCTATGTAGGGCACAGGTAGGCATATTATCTAGTTTTTATCAGCTTTCAAATAAACATAAAGTGGGTTGCTATGTCATGAGCACAATTATTTGTTAATGAAAGGCAACATGCAGTATTGCAGGATTAGGAATGCAAGTCTCATTAATCAGACCATCAGTTAATAAGCAGTGCTTGTATTACATTCTAGTTTATTTAACTACAGACATAACACAGAAAGGTTTCCCACACCAATTACTCAGATGGGAACATATCTGTGGAACAATGTGTGTTTAGATATCATTAATCTGATTGGAACCAACATATCTACTGACACACTAAATTATGCACAGTTTGTGAAAGTTTGCAAAGGTCAAGTCTGTAAGAGAAGAGAATCATGTCTATAAATAACATTGACTGGACTGTACAGTTATTTATAGCAGACACACATGTTCCAGTTATGTTCTCCGCTTCATAAATATTTCATAAACTAAACATTGGCAAGTGATGGATGCAGTGCTTCCACCACAGCCCACCTACTTAATGTAATGTTGATCTTGACCTACCTGTGACATGTTGTGCAGGGCCATGTGGTGCTGTATGACTGCCTCAGTCAGCCACTCCAGTCGCCCAGTCTCTGCCAGAGTACTCCCATCTATGATCTGTCCACCATCTAGCATTTGCTTGGGGAATGTGAGCAAGTTCTTGAGGTAGTCAACAGTATGCCTCTCCCGGTCATGGTTACCATACTCTGCCTGCCTGCTGTATGATGCAAGCACCACTGCTTGCTGGCAGTCACAGATGATCCTGCCCTCTATTAAGTCATTCTTCAGCTGCAGGAAGTAGTGGTACCTGGTGACTTCATCAGTGATCAAGCTTGTTCCTGATATCACATAGTACATGACTCGCAGATACAGCTGGTGCGACGACGCATACTTCTCAAGCTGGCGCTTGAGCGGGCGCTCGAGCTGCACCCAGCGCGGCTGCTGGCTGCGGTTGACGTAGCGCAGGCCGAACAGCTCGGGCTGCATGACGGCCTGCCGCTGGCACACGTTGTCGAGGCACTCCTGCCCCGTGCTGTCCACGGACAGCGTACAGTCCGCCACCCCGCCATCCAGCAGCTCCACACTTATCACAAACAAGCTCTTTGACGCTACATTATACTGCCGCGTCTTCTTCAACTTCAACTTGAAAGGCATCTTCCTGAGCTACCCGCCGCCACTTAGCAATAACATCACATAGGAAATAAACGTTACGTTTCGTTTATGGCAAAGGAATGTAGGAAACGATGCATCCGTTACGCGCGCCACATATTTATGACATTTCGTCTTGAATTCGCGACGTAATACAAGTCAGTTGAACGAATTTATGTTACGGTAGCGATGACGTAGGTGTATCGGCGAAAAGTAATAAAAATTGTCGAGTAAACACATATGTATTATGAAAATAAGTAATTCACGTTCACAACATTGAAGCCATCGAGAAAGTGACAATTGTTTGACATTTGGGTGTAGTGTTGCCACTTTCTTGAAATTTATCGATCTACTAACTTGGTAAATTTTAGTTATTAACTGAACTGTTTTGTACTGGCTGGGTCACTGCCGGGTCCAAGGACGTTGAGACGTTGACCATTTTTTTCAACTTCAACATTCTTGACTGGGTCACATAGATATTAGCTTGAATTTTATTTTGAAAAACTGTACAGATTTTGTGTTACGCAGAAAAGACTACGCTCGTACTTTCCCCGATAGTGTTAGATAATAACAACCTACTCGAATAGAATAAAAAAATTCATTATGCTTCACTATTTATTTTGTAGTCTCTTTATTTGTTATTAAAGTTATATGATTAAAGCCGGGCGCCCACTATCGCTTTATGTCGGCTTCGAGCGGTTTTTGGCACCTGAGAGGTGCGTCGGTCGACTTCGGGCTGCGTCAGTAGCCGTAAGCATGGCTAAAGTCGCCGAGGCTGTCTTAGGGTAACTCGGGAGAATAATGAGAACTAAGTTCAGATTCACCACTATCAATACACATGCACAACTACAATGATGGAGATTTCCAACCAGTATTGGTCAATCGCTCGTCTCCGCAGCTCCTGCACGGCATCGCGCGACCTCTAATTGCACAGTAGATGGTCTGCAATTTACAAGAACTGGGGTTGAGGGAGAGCCCTCATCCACCCAACTCACCAGACCTTGCGCCTACATACTACTACTTTTTCAAGGATTTGGTTAACTACTTCACAGGAAAAAATAAAATACTCGAGAAGTAGTTAGTACAAAATGCCTTTCAACTATTTGTTGTCTCCCTTCTAGCCGATTATCAGTAAATTACCTCTGAATTGGCAAGATGCATTGATTGCATGGGCGATTACTTCCATTACCTAATATAAATAAAAAACATAATATGAAAAAAATTTGCTCAATTTTTTTCATACAAAACGGCAATTTCATACAAGGTACCCATTATTTATTGAACTCTACTTAGTTAAGGTTATTAGAGTCCAATATTGAGAAAAATGAAATAAAACTATAGCATTATCTAAAACTGTATATTACACTATAATATTTGATTTTTTTTAACAATTTTACACGAACCCATTACCACCAAATAAATAATATAATAACTTATGCTGTTGATCGCCCCTCACGCCCTTCACTTTTATTAAAATTTAGCCATTCCACGGGTTCTTTCAGTACTTTCATCAGCTTCTCTTCGGCAGAATTTTGAGAGGGTTCGTGCATGTATTCCCATTTCTGAAAAAAAAAAAATGTTATCATCAGGAGATCCTTTTGCTCGTTTACCGGCTTATATCATAAAAAAGTTACTTAGAAATATTTGTGTTTAGGGGATGACAACGGGCTCGCCTTTGCTTTTGTCTTCTTTACATGACACATGGCACTAACTATTTTTCGTTATAGGATAGGTGGTAAATGAGGTGGATGAACTCCAAAGGAATCACAAATGCATGCAGGGAATATTGGTTTAGTATACTTACGGCGTTCAAAGGTAGAGACATGAGTATGGATTCGTAGCGTGCCTGAGGAGTGTGGAGACCGAACTTGGTGCCTCGGTCGTACATTAGGTTGAACTCGACGTAGCGACCTCGGCGAAGTAGCTGCCACTGGCGCTCGTGGTAACCGTAGGCGTCCTCTTTATGTTTCTTCACTAAACAATCAATTATAATACTGAGTTTAGGTTCCTGGTTTGACAACGACTATCAAAATTATTCCATTTTTATATTTTGTCCTACAGCAAGTATCTTTGTATGCGATGTTTGCAATAGGCTCATGGCCTCACATTTAATAACAGAGCAAGGGACTCAATATTACTGATGAAACGTGGATGTTAAGACTAATACATGGAATATCAATACATAGTATAAAACAAAGTCGCTTTCGCTGTATGTCCGTATGTATGCTTAGATCTTTAAAACTACGCAACGGATTTTGATGCGGTTTTTTTTAATAGATAGAGTGATTCTTAAGGAAGGTTTGTATGTATAATACATGCATATTGCACCCGTGCGAAGCCGGGGCGGGTCGCTAGTAAGATATAAGGAACACTAACCAATAGGTAAGTAACTAGGAATGACTGCTTCTGCGCATGACGTCACAAATTTGAAGGCAGCGTCTTGACTAGGTGTGTCGACGTCATCGAAGAAAATACCGCCAATACCACGACGCTCTCCTCGGTGGGGAATGTAGAAATAGTCATCGCACCATTTCTTAAACCTATTGGGGTGAAATATTAGGATATTATTGATAGTTACACTATTTACGTGCACTCAAGTAAATATTTGGAAACGATTCTACTTTTACGAAATTTGTTGTGTTACGCCTAGTATAAGTATTGTGATTGCACGCAAAAAAGATTTAACAAGTTGGTAGCCAGTTCAAACTAAGTACATTTTGTACTATTGGTAGAAAATTTTATTTCTTATTAATTAAGCAAAAACTAACAAAGACCCACAAAAATAAGATAAGTAGCTTACTTTTCATAGTATGTTTTGTCATGGTCGTCACACGCTTGTTTCAGTGTTTGATGGAAGTGCACCGCGTCCTCCTCATTCAGGTAGTATGGTGTAAGATCTGTGCCGCCACCGAACCACCACTGCACTCCTACAAAATATAATAATAATACATATTTGAGAACTCAACTAAAATATGAATCAATTGAATTCCATTGAGAATGCTATTGATTGACATAGCTACAGAAATGTGCTTACATTTCCCAAAAATATAAGTTGAAAATGTATTAAAAAATAAAAACTCAAACTTAAATTTTTTATTGCTTTCATGTGTAGGTACAACACAAAACCCGGTTAGGGCACGGCAACATAACTATTACATGACAAAATAAGCATACAGTCAAGCTAGGAGTAAAATAAATATTTACAGATGAAAATCTTACCATCTTTATCCCGTACTTCAAAGTACCGGTAGTTGAAGTGTATGGTAGGCACCATGGGGTTGCGCGGGTGTATCACGGCGCTCACACCAGCCGCGAAGAATGGAAGCTCAGAATTCTGAAGGTTCTTCCCTCTAAAAAATATATTACGTATTAAGAAAATATCAGAATAGGTTAAGGTAATATCAGAATGTTTAACCATTCCTGTATCATACAGGAATGGTTAAACATTATTAAGTTGCAAACGCTCTCGCCATTAAATTGGCCGCAGCCTGCCGTGCGCCAGCATCAGCGTGTCGTCGGTGTAGAATCTAACTGTGAGATAACATTTAATGTTAAAACGAATTCTAATATATTGCTATAATATCGATAACAATTTTGATACGGATAATTTTAAGAATAAAAAGATGAATCTACTTTTGCTTTGCCGATAATTATATTTATCACGTTAATGCCTTACCTGCTCCTCATTTGCTGCACAGCAGCAGGTGGTAAGGTGCCTGACACTACGGAAATGTTGACTCCCGCCTTTTCGAAGACTCGGCCATCTTGTAACACGCACGAGATCCCGCCGCCCCCTTCCTTACGCATCCATCTGTCCACTTTGAATTTTGCTTCCTGTTATACCAATATTTTTTTAAGTTTGGTGAAATTAACTAAAATTATTTTTTCATCAAAGCATACTGGCAGCTTACCCTTCTTGTGTTTCCTTCACTTGGTTGTCAAAATTATATAATTGGTTGGAAGTTAATATTATGAGATGGCAACATTTATTTTAGTGCAGGTGTTTATGTTTCAGAGATTGATGCATTCAGCCAATAAAATACTTTCTTTCAAGAGGTATTAAGAAATTAAGTTACTAGGGAGATCTTAACATAATCTATCACATTTCTACATAACAACAGAAATAATTTCAATAGTTTCATACCGGAGACATTAAGAACACATCATTTTCAAAATCATATTCATCTGCAGTTTTTTCATCTTCCCAAGCCTACAAGAAAAGAAGTCATGTTGTTCAAAGAGATAAAAATATTACTATTCTACAACTTTCTTATCACACATTGCATTGTAAACAATTTTATTTTATTTATATCAATACCTTCATTTATATTCCGACACCACTTAAAATGAAGAATAGTCTTATAAGGAAATACTATTTCTTTACAAAACAACCTGAATAACTAGTCAAGAGTACATATCTAACTAGAACTTAAATCTAAGTAGGAAAAAGAAATAAAATACAAACCGCATCCTCTTCTTTCTCGAGGGCTTTACAAAATTCAGCTTGTATCCGCATAATGAGTAATTCCATCTGTGTCTTCATGTCATCTCGGTTCCTTTCCAGTTGATCAACAGGTGTAATGGGCTCAGCCATGTAGTTATGTAATTGTATTATTTCCTTCATTTCCACTTTACTTTTTTTATACTGGCTGTATGCTACATATCCTGTGCCCAGTACTGCAGCATAGAATAATCTGTAAAAATGTTAGTCTATGATTAGAATGAACATATTTTTAATTAGTTTTGTCTTCATTTTTGTTTAATCTAATAAGATTGTTTTGATTCAGGTGTCATATTCATTAAATAATTTTTAGTGAATAATGATGATGGTTTGTTATTCCAATACATTATTAGAAATACAACTATCATGATGAACAACAATGATGATTATAAAATTACTCAGCATTATCTTGCAGATATTATGATAAATTAATTTTAATTTCCAATTTGTCTGCAATATTAACAGAAAGTAGTAAATTAAACACAACAATGTTTATTTATTCATTCAAAAACAATCAACTATTATGTCTTTTATTAGCTACTTTAGATTAAATGTACTCATGTGTAGGTATACATTATAATTAAATTTATTTATGTATGTATATCTCCGAAATATATTAGTTTATCTTTCATTGTTAAATAAAATCACTGCTTGCCTCTTGCACCTACCATTTACTCTTCTCTGCATCACCCAAAGGTCAGACTGGTAGAAAATGCCTGCGGCATTAAGTCCACCTTTTTGTACATTTTGTGCATGAAGCATTTTAAATAAATAAATAAATAAATTGTAAATGAATTTGAATCTGATAACAGCAGTACAGTTTATTCAGGTAAACTACTGGACAGTACTACAAGTGGTGCTGACCCACTTTGCTTATCTCTCACAGAAAAATAACTATATTACTAAAAATCAAAGATTTTTGTTTACCTATATACTACCCTTTCGAAGTTTTTTTGTATTGGAATATTGAATTTTGTAATTTATATGGTCAAACAAAGAACTCGTATACATCAGGTGCTCTCTTTACAATTATACAATATTTGCATTATTTACAAGATTGATGACTCAATAACCAATCGATCACGTACGCCAAACACACGTAAATAAAAGTGATTTATTCATCACATATAGCCCGCTCTAGGATCATGGTATAAAGATACCATGAACTGCGTACAAAGGGTCCAATTTAATTAACCTTTTGAGAAAGAAAAACAATAAAACAGTCATGTAAACACAATACCTGTGAGGTCTATCTCTGATTTTCTTGTAACTCCCAACATAACTCAAAGTTTTCAGAGATCTTGTTATCACTTTGTACCACATATTGTTTTTATTCCGATCCGAAAAGTACTGATATTAAAGATTATTATTGAAATTCCAAAGAGAAGATAAATTTTTTTGACTGAGCGAGTGAGCGTGAGCGAGCCGGTTTGACATTTGACAGCTGTGACGTTTTCCACGTTGTTATCATTAGCGCGCCACCCAGTGGTGGCATGCGGAACTATTTAGTTATCAGCTGTGAAATTTTTCTTCCGCAAGACGCGCCTACATGCGCAATATGTGTTCATCTCTTTCCTGAGCGAGGAAGAGAGCATCGATCGCTCGTGTCGTGCTCTTTCCGACCAGTCCGCGGCAGCCTCGCTGACAGCGTGTCGCCAGTGCGCGTGTGTACACCGTTGTCCGGCTATCGATCCGTCAGCGGAGCCGCATTGCCGTACATTCCGGAGGCGGTGCCTCGCCTAGTTTTCGTCGATCGTCGGCGTGGCGGGCGCGTGTCGGCGTCGGCGGCGGCCCGGGGCGGCCCTGCGCAGTAGCGACCAAGTGTAGCGCGGGAGCGACCGACCTTTCTTCCGCCAAAACCGGCTCGCTGTCCGCGGCGGACGGCTGTGATGTAGCCGCGGCCGGCGCGAGCGGCCTTCGGACAAAGGACCCGCTACTCGATTATTCGCGATGAAGAAGTTCACGTTCAAGGGGGTGCTCGACGGGTTCCGCAGCTCGGTGCAGGCGGCCCCGCGAGGCACCGAGCAGGAGATCCAGGAGACTTTGCGTCCCGATCACTTCCAAATCAAAAAGGTGAGTGGTTTTATCGCGCGGCGCGGCCCAAGGTCCCACAGATAATGGCGATGAACGGCACGCGAGCAGCGCGGCCTCCGCGGCCTGAGGGAGAGGGGCGACCACGCTCCAGTGCCGGTACCGTATTTATAACAGCACCTCCTCACCTGAGCGCGCGACGTCTGCCAGCGTGCAGCCTCTTGCCAGTTGTGTAAACTGTACGCACGCCGCACGTCCACGCCATGACGGCGACAACCGACAGTCGACACCTCTGTGCATTACTGCATATCAAAACAATCACAACATTTCGCCCCTCGCCGCTGCAACCATACGTCTATGACTCAGCTTTGTTGACATTTCTTTAGCCAAGAACGTGTACTATGCGTAATCTGACGTTATTTCATAGTCGTCGTGAATGATACGACTGCAAATTTTTTGTGATGCTGTTTATTCACGACACTGCAGCCTTGTCCATCGATGTAATAAGCTATTATTAAATTGAGCTGACCACGGCAGGCGTCAAGTGCGTGTAAGAACGATGGAGCAATTTTTATATTGAGTACATGCATGGTGTCTAGGCCGATATTATTTTTCGTCAGATTACTGATCAGTGGAGCACCTGTAGGCGGTGAATAGCGATCATAATATTGAACTGATAACAGATTAGATAAGTGCTGCATTTAATAATACCCATGCTCTCTGCCGTGTATTTTTTTGTTGGAAAGGTTACACGGAAAGCCGATGTTTTACCATGTACTTTTTCAGACAAAATTATCAAATGAAATTTACGTCGGCAGTTCTAAATTTGAACAATAGATCTTGTCACTAAAGAATGCGTAGGAATAGGAAGATCATGATGGCCGACCAATGGCAGGAACAATACAGTCGCTGCCCAAATGTTTTCTGTCAAGTACGTGATTCCGGGTTCAATCCAAAGAAGATTTTTTGGGCACTAATCTAACAACTAGAGTAAACTTTTGGTAAACCGGTGTGGCCGTACTTTTATTACATCTCTGCCTAGCCCCCTTTGTAGGAAATAACATGCGTGATATTATGTTGTATAAAGTAAACTTCCTGAAATCAGGAAAGTAAAGCATTTCCATGTCAAGGTCTACAATGCTTTACACGGGCAATGTTAATGATCGATAGCGTAAAATGTAAAGAACTTATAATAATTGAGAGCGCACCGTGACCTAACTTTGTACAGGCGTTTCTTTCTGCCTTCCAAATTCAGTTATTGGGGAAAGTTGTGCCAAAAGCACCTCCGTCCATCTGTGCCTGCGAGCCCGCCAGCCCCCGAGCACGGCAAATGAGCAAACTCCTAAATAGTAAACTACGTCGCGGTCGTTACAGAAGATGGAATACAAACATTTATTTATGATCGTCCTCCATTGAACATTTAGAATTTGTACAGCGGTATGCTTCTGAAACTTTTCCCTTTCTTTAAACGAATTTCGGAGGGCGCCAATTTGCGTGGGATCCCCGGCTATCCATAAAGAAACAAGTTTTAGTTACCTAATTCTTGTCTGAACTGTGAGTTTTGCTTTAAATCTTGAATGGGTCGACGGCCTGTGTGGGGTGGCTGAGCCCTTTTATATTTCACATAATAGATATTACGGGAATATTGACGGGTTTCCTATTCGCCATTGTCCTGAAAGAAATAATTAGCGAATATTTTCCTTACAGGAGTCGTTGCCGTTTGAAGCAAAATTTCTAAGATGTATATTCGGTAGCGGTTACAATCCTGATAAAGAAAGCATTGATATGAGATTTTATCCTCGATAACATTCAGTACTTAGTACTTCAGTACTATACAGTACGCATTCCGTGGGTACATGTATACTCAGTATAACAGAGAATGTCGGCTGGTGTTTAGTAACGCAGATAAAAGGAAAACAATGTCACTCGGAGCACGTCGCTATTTATTTTTAATACGCTGTGTATGATGTAAGCAAACATGAGTTCACAGCTGGATCTGTCCGTCCTCAAAGCCTTAGGGTACGGTGACTCACGATACGTAATAGGATTTATCGACATAGGTACTATTGATAGGTTTTACCCACTGAACTTGCCGATATCGTACTAAATACGTTTATCTTTCGGATAACATTGATTACTAGCCACTGTCTTTAAAAGGATTTGGATGCGTCATATCCTTTTCGCCAAAAACTGTCCCGAGTAGAAAAATACACTTTTAAAGTGTACTTACATATATAATCACAATTACCTATTGGTTTAATACTTCTATTATTATCACCGTATTAATGAACAACATCAAAGAATAATATCGAACATCTATGCTGCATTCTGCATCGCTTGCCAATATGTAGTAAATTCAGGCGATAACAGTTTTCCGTATATCGCGGTTATCTTCCACCGCTGCATAGCCATAGAGCTGATAAATATTGCCACCCCACATCCTCTCAATACAACCTTTTATCTTGTGAACCAAACTACGGAAAATCAATGATTGATGCTTTATTTTCACTTTACTAAACATCGCTGAATTGTTATAAAATATTTCATCACACATTTGAAAATTATGGCCATTGTCATCCTTAAAGAATAAATGAATGAAATTAATATTCTTCATGTTAATCAGGTTTAGCCAAAGTTAGGAAAGATTTCAGATCCGTGCATTACCGTGATCAAGATATTATGCAACTTTTCTTATAGTCCAACACACTCCTAATTAATTTTCAACGTATTATTTACGTCAAAGAAAACGTAAAACAACGCTGTTCATAGTGCAGCGACACAAATAACAGTGTTCCATAACGCTGTTATATGACAGTAACTGTATTTCGCGTAGAGATGTGGCGTACGGAGGAGCAGTCATTATCTCCTGCTCTCCCGAGATAAGTAATTACAGGGGGAATTGGATTTGTCCATTGTTATCTCGGACTTGTGCTAGTGATTCATTTAATTACGAACTGACAGCTAGACTAGTTGCTTACATCTTTGATACTTCATCGTTTTACGAATTTGGTATTTTGTACACGCAATGATCATATAACTCATCCCCAACTCGGGGAAAATGTATTACATAAATCGTAATTGTTATTAATAAATAAATGCTGAACACTGGTTAAACATTGTTCAAGGTAAATAATAAATCCATATATAAATATATGTACCTACCTAATTCTTATCGGAATAAATCCAGTGTGAATTTTCCTGTATCAATCAGAATGACGTACTTAAATATTTAAAATAAAAATAGTACCTATCAACGATTGTATCTTGCTGAATAAAGGCACCGTAAAATTGTAAAAGCATAAAAAAAAATAAAGAGCGGCGAAGTAAGAAAGCAGTTGAAAAATCAAGTAAAATAAAATACTGTCCATTGCACCTATTTCATAATTTCTTTAATTTAATACCAAGAAAAGCCTAATAGAGAGAGCCAAGCATAAATAACTAATTACAACAGAAATCAAATAACAGGTACAAAGTTCGTCTAATACTAATAACACATAATGGCGCTGGTAACTAGATATTGAATATTGGACGTGTAAAGTTCCATATGTATCACAGGACCGACTATTACGTATAATTATATTAATTATATTATAATCTAGGTTTTAACTTTATTAAGGATTTTGTGGCGATAAATAACACAAACTTGGACTTTGGTGACAAGTCATTTTTCATGACGCATGTGTATGGTAAGCCATCAATAAACTATGTCGGTCTGTCTGTGTGTCATGATTAATCTGGCTGTTGTGGTCCCTGTCCGAGAGGATTCGTAAACTGTTGGTGAGGATTACAAGGCTTTTGCGATGAATTACAATGCTCCGGTAGGGTTGCTAGCTACGGAATATTGTCTCTGGCTGCAAGCTGCCATATTGTTTGACACGGTGACATTTATAACGTGTAATTGTTTCCTTGAAGATAATACAGAAAAGCTTCTATTTTCTGTAACATTATCTGCAATCTGCAAAATTTCAATGTTTTATCTAAAGAGTCAATTAAATTATCTAAATAAAACAATATCATTGAGAACAAGTAATTGATATCGTAAGGTGCCGTAAGATTATTACGCCATTTTAGCGATAAGACACGTTCATTGATGATATTTGTTTATAATGTTACTGTATTTATATTCATACAGTTATTTTCATATTTTGTCTCGTATCGTAAACTAGCGTCGAACGTGATCGCAATTACGATTGCTTGATTATGGAGAAGGCGGGTCACTGGGTTTGTTCTTTGAAAAACTGCTTAGCTTTTCCAAGAATAATCAAAGAAAATCACCAAATCGCCACCTTTCTGAGTAATAATAATTGATGGTTGTAATTTTCTTATAAGCTTCCAAGTAGGGAACAAAATAATCTTATTTCATTTGGTCATTTTTATAAATATCACATTAAATGTGTAAGTGCAGAAATACTAAGAAAATCAGAGGAGAGAGGAACAACTGTAATTTATAAACGTTATTACTCGTTAAAGTAACTGTTATTTTAATAAATCGCAGACCCCTTAAGTATCCTTTTAAGGGATAGGCATAATTGCTATTACTAAAACTGAAATAGAAAGGTACACGTAGATACTTTCATTTTTGAAATTGGAATTACGTTACCTAACTTAAATTAAAATTGCTTAGGTACAACTTAAATATTTGTTTTACTTAACTAGTAACGAACTGTTTAAATAGAGAAATCTTAATTAAAATTTCCAAATAATTTTACCATTTTTTAAGTAAAAGGAAATACGCAAAGAGTTTAATTAGTAGGTACCTAGACAGAAAGAAAGTAGTAGAAATTGAAGTAATAGCTTCACATTTTATAGCAGAAAGATCAATGTACAACGAATCTGTATCACATCCTAATTGTTCCTAATTAATACAGTTAACGATGCGAAACTGCTATTTTATTAAATCACATATCGCAACGCTAGTCACGAATTAACAAGCGGCCGTGACGTCACTAGTGATTCATTCGAATTTCGAACGGCAGCCATTACGAGTTTGCTGGCTGATCAACATTACTTTTGCATTGAAATTGATAACGAAATTGCTTTTA